CAAAAAAAAAAAAAAAAAAAGTTTGGAAACCAAGTATTATGTACTTCTCTGTGTATTCTTGGAAAACATATAACTGAGTTAAATGTCGTCTGATTGGTTGTGAAATCAACTTCTGATTGATGTCAATGACATGAATAGATAAGCCTTATACTCAAAGTCTTGCATGAGAAAGAGGCAGGACTTTTGCACAAGCTTGATAAGCCATGCTCTTCGTGCCGCCTCTCTGCCACTGAAAATAAACTGGGAACATGCAGTTACGGCATTAGGGAGAGAGGTTATGCTTGACTGAGTCATTTAGTTATTTTTAACTAGTCAAGGCAAACTTTGAAGGAGAACCTTGTCTGAAATTTCAAGTAAACTTTTTGTTGGGCATGGTTAATTTAATTCAAATTCAGACTCGTGAAGTGAAAGCCAATTCTTCAGTTTTGAATTTTCTGCTATCGTTGCTGTTGCTTTGACATATGGCATTATGAAAGGTTTGCTCACAGAGCAACTCTTTGTTATTCAACCCTCAAGGCCTCATATAGTAATTTCAAGGGCCTACCCTCAATTAAAAGACACATAATCCAGGTATTACTTCAACTACTGAACAAAAGGTAGCCAATGAGTAGCTAATTAACTGTTCGCGTACAGCAGTTAGCAGTAAGAATGTTAATGACTTGCACTGTCAGAACCTGGTTTAACAGAAACTTCATTAACAGAACTGACATGAAAATCAACATAGCGACTCATTGTACTTGCGTAATATGACATTTCCAAATGAAAAAGGATATTCAATGAGAAAAAACATAGGTCAGGACTTTATTTTATTCATGATTAGGTAGTGAAAATGGGCATTTACCATTAATTGTGAAGAACCAACCCCCTACTGAAACATCGAGGGCACCTACTGGTTGAAATTTATGCGGCCTTGATGATGTCAGCTGAAAGGAAAGTCATTTAAAACATTATGAAGATTTTTTTCTTTGGAATAACATTATGAATAATTCATATCAGGCATATGTATTAAGAAAGAAAAGGACATAAATTATGATTTAATGTTGACTTCATGAGCATTGAAGGTTCTGTTAAAGACAGAAAAAATACGGCTGGTAAAAATGGACATTTATAATTAATTATAAAGAAACACCCCAGTCCTGAAACATCGAGGGCACCTATTGGTGGAAATTTAAGCAGTCTTGATGATGTCAGCTGAAAATACATTAAGAAAGAAAAAGACAAATTATAATTTAAGCATGACTTCATAAGCACTTAAGGCTCTGTTAAAGACAGCAAAAACAGGCCTTGTGAAAATGGTTGTGAAAATAGGCATTCACCATTAATTGTGACGAACCACCCACCTACTTAAAGCAGCGAGGGCACCTATGATTATGTCACCTGAAAGGAAAGTCATTTGAAACAAAGACTTTTTTTCTTTAGAATGAAGTGAATTCTTTCATGACAACTCTCAGAAGATTTTTAGCATGGTAGTGGATATGACAATGTTAATGTATTTGGTCTTGGTGGAATAGATCTGCTACGCTGCTGCTGCTGGATTGCTGCTGCTGTTGGTTATTGCTATAGGTGTAGATTATTGCTGCTGCTGCTGCAAGCAAGTACAGGAACTTGCTACTGCCAAAGCATACGGCGATATGGAGCTGTGAGTATTTAAGACATACTGCTGCTGCACGAATAGCATATAAAATAACCCGTAGCAGATCGATACAGGTGGAGCTGGGGAAGGTGGACGGTTTCAGAGAAACTGCATATGCAACATGAACCAATCAGCTTGTGCCAAGTCGTTAAACGCTGTGAATATCATCAGTTACGTTAAGAACCCATCAGCCTGCGCCATCTAGAGTTTCATGACTGCACTATATATTTAATTGAACCAGTTCATTGAAAATAACTGTCCAAAAGAGCCAGTTCACTGAAAATAATCTGATTCCTCACTGTCTGAGGCTATGGGTTACAGGTAATATTGTTGTAAATAATGTTCAGTTTCTTGCACATACAAATCATTTCGCTTCATAAGATCTCAATACATCATCATGGGCAACTGGTATTCATTTTGTGTTCCTTGGTATGCCTTTTTATTCTCAAAAATGGGCAGCTGCTGATTTGCATTTTATGAATCACCAAGGACCACGGTTTCAGCTAAAAATCTTCTTTACTGTTCTACTGAAGAAAAACGTCCCCTACACCTTGGGGTGCATAAATTAACAGCACAACTATATTTTTGGGTGAACTATCCCTTTAAGGTTGCAGAACACTTTTCAAATGACTCTGGCAACACTGTAGAAACCACTACAAACACTTAAGAAATTGCATAGCAAAGACTGATTAAAACATCTTAACATCATGGAGGCCACTTTTCAACTGCATGCAGCCACTACATTTATGTTATTAAATTTTTTACATTTTCAACTTTTTTATTTTGAATGAATTGAATTAAATTCAATTGTTTAATAATTCAATTAATTATTCTCTCAACTTTTGACTATTGGTGTATACTGGTGTAAAAATGAAATAAAAATAAAATAAAATAAAAATATGATCAAATGATCATTGACAATTTGAAGTGTTGTTATTGTTATACGTTTTTAAAGTTATGTTCATTAAAATAAAGCTAAAATTAAATATATATATTAGATGATAGATAAAAATTAGAATTAAAATTAAAAATGAAATAAATAAAAAATATAAATTTGTAAGAAACCTAAAAACTATAATAAAAATGACAAAAGCACATAACCAAATTATTATAAAAAAAATATTTTTTTTAACTTCAAATATTAATAAATTTCAAATATTAATAAAATACTATTACAGTATATAAAATAAAATAGCATATAAAATAACCCGTAGCAGATCTATACAGGTGGAGCTGGGGAAGGTGGAGGGTTTCAGAGGAACTCTGAAAGCGCGCTGCAAAATGCTCGAGTGGAGGCTAACTATTTAAATGTAAAGCTGCAAGCTCATTGGCTGCATATGCAACATGAGCCAATCAGCTTGTGCCAAGTCGTTTAACGCTGTGAATATCATCAGTTACGTTAAGAACCCATCAGCCTGCGCCATCTAGAGTTTCATGAAAGAACTAGGAATGAATCATTCATAACAATACCAGGCATATGCATTAAAAAAGAAAAAGCCACAAATTTTGATTTTATGTTGACTTCACAAGCATTTAAATTTCTGTTAAAGACAGCAAAAATAGACCTGGTAAAACAGTCATCAAAATGGCAATTTAGTATTAATTTTGAGGAACAACCACACTCCTGAAATATAATGGGCACCTATTGGCTGAAATATAAGCGGCCTTGATGATGTCATCTAAAAGGAAAGTCGTTTGAAGCATTATAAAAGCATTTTTTTCTTTGGAACATTATGATGAATCATTTATAATAAGCAAGCATATGGATTAAGAAAGAAAAAGCCATACATTTTGATGTTATGTTGTCTTCATGAGCATTGACAGCAATAATAGGCCTGGTCAAAACACTGGCAATGCAAGCTGGGGATCTGCATCCAAAACAACATCTGCTGGTGACCAGCTATGCTCCTGGGTGCTGTGACCAGCACTGCTGTGTCTTTTGATAGCTGTACACACATGCTCACGGGGCGGCGGGCTGACGCTGTCGGCCTTCACCAGGGAAATCATAATAACATACGACAAAGACGCTGCTTTTGAAAGCTGCTTTGAAATAAGGGGGCGTTTAGACAGAGAGAGAGAGATTCACGCACCTTCAGAAGCCAGCGCCGTACACTGCAGCTACAGCCAGAGCAGCACACCATCCATCAACAGCAGACACTGCAGCACAACAGAGCTTAATAAAAGAGAGCCAGGGCCGAGGTTGAGGCTTTGTGTCTCAAACCTGCATGAAACAGTGCAGCACATTATCGTAAACACAAGACAAAAAACTAGCAGTGAAAAATACTGGAGAAAGAAATGGGAGTTTATAATGGAATGAAAACTAAACTGAAACTGTAAATGTGAATGACAATACAAATAAAAAATGATTAAAAATAAAAATATGATCAAATGATCATTGACAATTTGAAGTGTTGTTATTGTTATACGTTTTTAAAGTTATGTTCATTAAAATAAAGCTAAAATTAAATATATATATTAGATGATAGATAAAAATTAGAATTAAAATTAAAAATGAAATAAATAAAAAATATAAATTTGTAAGAAACCTAAAAACTATAATAAAAATGACAAAAGCACATAACCAAATTATTATAAAAAAAATATTTTTTTTAACTTCAAATATTAATAAATTTCAAATATTAATAAAATACTATTACAGTATATAAAATAATACTGGACACAATAATAAACTGGTGCACAGCAAAGTCGTAACGGTGAAAAATGGCACCACTGTCTTTATTAAAAACAACTAAATCACAGAAAAAAAGAAAAGAAAAAAAAACACTCACGTCTCGTTTAGTTGACCCAAAAGGCCTCTAACAAAACTTTAATATATTTCAAAGATATTATGCTCTGAACTTTGCAATCTTTGGAGAAACAGTGAGTAGTTGTTGGGGGTCATTGGAGGCTGACATGAGATCTAAGCGAATCAATCAATGCTGCTGAATCATAAATGCCCCAGGAGCCATGCTACAGTGCAATTTGCTCAGCATATACTACAGCATGTGTTTATTTGAGTTCAACAAATTAAACTTAAACTTTGACGGTACTATTTTGAGAAGAAAGAGCAGCTTCTGATAAAGTATGCATCATCATGGGCAGATGGAACAGTTTGTGGTTGAAAACTAAGACTATACTGCATCCAAATAAAACTAAAAGCTTTTTATGCACCACCAAAACTAAACTGAAATTGACCACAAATGAAAGGCAAATAAAAACTATAGTACAGTTTTTTTTTCTTTTCAAAATAACCCTGAGTGTTCGTGCAGACGCATGTGTTGTAAGAGTGCTGTGGTATTTGGGCTGGAGAATGATGCTTGATTAAGCTTTTGTTGGTCTCTGTTTGAGGAGCCACTCAACACCCAGAGGGGTTTGGCCCACTCATGCTCTCCCATCGAGAGCCTCTATTCATCCACACAGACCTCGGAAAAACCCAACAAGGCTGTTTCAGAATAAATAAACAAGTTCCATTGAAAAAAATGGGAATAATGATTAACCTACCCCTGGTCAGAGCTGAGAGTCTCAGTGTGGTCTTTTCAAAATTAAAGGGACAGTTCAAACAAAAACGAAAATTCTGGCAGTATTTATTCACCCTCAGGTTGTGTCTAATCCATATGACTAAAATAGATATTTTGGGAACTGCTTTTCATGCAATTACAGTGAATGGAGAATGAATCTTTCAAAGTATCCAAGCTTCTTAAAAGTATCATTAAGTATTATAGTCCATATGCCTTAAAGACTATATTTCACGACTTCTGAAATCATACGAGAAAGTCTTACAATTCAATTTCATTCTGTGTGAGAAACAGAATGAAACTGAAGTAATTATGCCCCACACATTATCGAGAGAAGTAGCAACATTCAATTGGTAAACAAATCTTCTGAGTTGATCTTTTCAACTAATCAGCTGATTCAATTCACAAAATTGGTCTGAATGATTCTTTCGCAAATCATTGTTCTTCAAGATTCAAGATTCTTTTCGCAGACTCAATGACCTGGTCACAGTAGTAACAGTCAAGTAAGTGAGTTTGAGAATCTAACAAGTCAAATTCATGAACAAATAATTATTTTGATTCAATCTTTTCAAGAAATCTGTTGATCGTTCAATTCACAAAAACAGTCTGAATTATTTGTAAAATGAGTCGGACCGATTTGGTTCTCGAACTAATGATCTGGCCACAGTCGATTCAGCAAGTTTGATAACCAAATTAATCTAATTTGTGAACAAATCATTCTTTTGAGTCAATCTTTTCCATGAAAATTTTGATTTGATATGCAAAACCTGCCTGAATGATTCATTCATGAATCTGGAGACAATGGTTAACAGTCAAGTCAAGTAAATAAGTCCGATTTGTGAACAATTAATTCTTTTGAGTCAATCTTTTCAATGAATCTGTTGATTCCGTTTACAAAACCCAATCTGGGGTGCGTTTCCCAAAAGCAACTATGGTCGCAAGTTCCGTCATTACCAATAGAGTTCAATGGAACTTACCACCATAGTTAGCTAACAATGTTTTTTGGAAAAGCATCCCTGAATTATTCATGATGTTTACAAATCAGATCGATTCAATTTTCAAACCAGTTGACTAAATAATCTTGTAACAATGGTTCAGAGTCCAGTCAGCAAGTTTGATAACCTGATTTGTGAACAAATCATTCATTGAGTCAAGACTTTCCAAGAAAAATTTGATTTGAAACACAAAATCGGCCTAAGTGATTTGTTAATGAATCTAACTAATTGGGCCAGCGGTTGACAGTTGAGTATGAGTTTGATGACCAACTGAGAACCGAATCAGTCTTGATTTGTGAACAAATCATTCTTTTAAGTCAAGCTTTTCAATAAATCTGTTGATTCGGTTCACAAAACCAGCTTGAATGATTCATAAAATGAATTAGACCGATTTGGTGACTCAATGATCTGGTCACAGTGGTTCAAAGTCGAGTTTGAGAACCAAATTAATCGGATTTTTGACAATTGATCAATCCAACTAATCAAGCTGACTGAAGATTTTATAAGTCATATGGACAATGCTTATGATGTCTTCGAGTCCTTTTTTGGCATAAATGAGGCCAGAATTAGCATTTCTGGGTAAGCTATCCCTTTAAAGTTTACCTGCCATGTGTTTTTACCGTGGGAAGAGCTTTCAGTCCTTACATTTGCTCAGTTTTCTCATTTAGACCGTAAAATGGTGTGTGTACTGATAACACAAGCATCTTTATTAAATATAACAATGGTCTTTTGTTTTGTGGTTTCTCGTGAAGGACAGTAAACAGGCCGCACTCGTGTAAATTAATATCAGATGTCACATTAACTTGAGATTACCTGTAAACATTTGTTCATGTTCAGGGTAATGATGTGGGTCAGCCGCGCTCGCGTTCGGGTCTGTTTTTCTCAGATAATACACAAAAGCAGGTTAATGCCACAACGGGAATGAGCCGGGTATTAATCCATATAAACTCCACATCAGTGTCAGTGCTTAAAATGTCAGGCAAAGAGACAAATGAATGGAATTGAAATTAATTACCTCTCAGACGGAGAGCAATACAATCCCTCTTCCCTCAAATGAGTCCTCACTGGAAAAGCCTCGGCTCCACATGAGCGGGATTATTGTATGCTGAGTGAATCAGAAATAGACTTTTATTTGTTTAAGAAACAGCATGGGCCAGGAATAAGCAGCGTAGATGGGCGATTTCTAGCTGAACTACGCCTCCTTTCCGAACTCTCCCTACATCAGACCATAAAATTGATTTCTGCACTAAAGGCAGAATATGCAGACAAACTGTAGTTTAGTGGTGAGCTCTCGGGAACTATGCCATATGAACAGAAATGTACTTTGGTGAACATAAATAAATAAATAAATAAATAATCAATCTGCGGACTACTCCCTTTAAAAAAAATGCTTTGTTCAATTAATAATAGTAACAATAATTGAATGATTGAATAAATATAAACAAACAAACAAACAAATAATCTGGGGACTACTCCCTTTAAAAAAAAACATGCTTTGTTCAATTAATAATAGTAACAACAAATGAACGAACAAACAAACAAATGAATGTACGAACAAATAAATAAATAAATAAATACATATTCACATTTATTTTTCAATTTAAATGCATCACATGCAGTTTAGCCAAGTTTATGGAATGGGACTGACACTGTGGATCATTGCCTTCGGATAATAAAGCTGAATAATAATAATAATAATAATAATAATAAATTAATGACAATGAATGAATGAATGAATGAATGAATGAATCACTCTTCTTTATAAATTTAAATACATCACATGCAGTTTATCAAAGTTTATGGAATGGGACTGACACTAGGGATCATTGCAATAATAATAATAATAATAATAATAATAATAATAATAATAATAATAATAATAATAAATGTTTTTAACATAAATACACACTAAAGTTACACCTGAGTTACTATAGTATAAACAGTTACAATTGTTCTGAACAGCTGCATTTATAATATGCAAGGAGGTATTTTAGTATATTTAGTATACCATAGTATTAGTGCATGATTGGTTGCAAAAATTCTTGGCTTATTAAAAAAAAAAAAAGAAGGGTACTGATAGTAAAAACACTGTCAGGTCAATTCGAAAGTTATGCAATTCTGCTCAGGCTGGCAACACACATTCGAGTTCAGCTTGTGTCATTTCCTGTTTCCATACAATTTCCTGTCCATTCTCTGCTGTACCTTTCAATAAAAGTGACAATAATGGTCTCAAAATTCTATGACAAAATTTCAGATCTCATTTAACTAAAAAAAGCACTAGAGTGGTATAAAATGGTAAAACTATGGTACTTCCATATATACCATAGTACTACATGGTTACCATGTTCATATACAATGGTATTTCAAAGTATATTAAAAAAAACATTTAGTTTAAAACATTTAACATCGGAACAATTTAGTAAGCAAAGAACAGTAATCTAAAGATTACAAACACTCAGATTAAACACTCTAAACGCTGCAGACTGTGTCCTTAATGTTTATTTCTCTTGTTTTGTTAATACTGCAAGAGCTGCTGGAGCTCCGAGAGAAAAATCTCCTAATTCAACATCAGTTTGAGAACAACTCCAGAGCAGATGCATGTCCTCCACATGAAGAACAGCAGAGATTCAGACACACAGCAGGAAACGCAGTCTGTGGTGGAGCACAAGCTGCCTGAATCAGCAGTACAGGCTGAGACAGACGACCGTGGAGACCAGTGCCGCCCCTGGAGCGAGAGACAGACGGGAGAATGTGCAGTGAGACTTACTAGACTATTAAGGAAGTCATATGATGAGAAACAGACTGAAATTTAGGTTGATATTCACTGAAAATCTTATTATTGTGATCCGATCGAATCGGTGAGTTGAACTTAAGAACCGTATCAGTATGAATCATTTATTTACTGATTCATCAAAAAGATTCGACTCAAAACAGTGATTCGTTCATGGGTTTTGGTCTGTTCCTCAAACAAATCTATTGAATGACTTCAGAAAACTTTGCATACAGTCATATGGACCACAAAACTGAGCAATCTGGTTCTCAAACTGACTGATTCAGTGATTTGGTCACAGTGGTTAACAGTCAAGTAAGTGAGTTTGAGAATCAAATTAGTCCGATTCACAATTAACATGAGTCAATCTCTTCAATTATTCTGTTGATTCAATTCACAAAACCAGTCTGAATGATTTGTAAAACTAACTGACTCAATGTTCTGGTCACAGAGGTTCACATTTGAGTCATTGAGAGAACCAAATGAATATGATTCCTGAATAAATCATTTTGAGTCCAGCATTTCTTTGAATTTCTTCACAAAACCAGTCTGAATTATTTGTTTATAAGCTTCCCATTGCAATCAGATTGAATCAGTCAGTTGAACTTAAAAGCCATGTCAGTATGAATCATTCACATACTGATTCATCAAAAAGAACCGACTCAAAACACTGATTTGTTCATGAGTTTCGCTCTATTCCTCAGACAAAACTATTGAATGACTTCAGAAAGTTTTGAATAGTCATATGGACCACTTTTATGATAATTTTTTGGTGCTTGACAGGCCAGCTTCTCATTCACTCTCATTTTATTGAAAAGAAAGGCTACGACGTTCTTCATAAATTCACTTTTGTCAATTGGATTGAGTCAGTGAGTTGAACTCATTAACCATATCAGTACAATTTGTGACAGAATCACTCACTCACTGATTCATCGAAAAGATCTGACTCAAAACAGTGATTCGTTCATGAGTTTTAGTCAGTTTCTCACACAAATCTATTTAATGACTTCAGAAAACTTTGAATACAGTCCCATGGACCACTTTTATGACACCATTTTCCCATAAAAAAATTTTTTTCGGCGCTTGACAGGCCCCCTTCTCATGTACTCTCATTTTATTGACATGAAAGACTAGATATGCTTCATATATTCACTTTTGTCGATTGGATCGAGTCAGTGAATTGAACTCATTAACCATTATCAATACAATTCGTGAGTGAATCACTCACTCACATGATTCATTAAAAAGATCTAACTCAAAACAGCGATTCATGAGTTTTGGTCAATAATTTAATTCCAATTCTTTTTCCATAAAAGTGGCTTTTTTTTTGTTATTTCTCATTGCAAAGAATGCTATGTGCTTCAAACATTCACCTTTTGTGCTCCACAGAAAGTATAAAATCAAGTTTGGAACAACACGAGGTTAAGTAAATGAACTTTCAGTTTGGTGTGAACTCTTCAAACTCTCCAACGAACTCACACTGTCATATAGACGGGCAGTGAAAAGATAAAGAGAGCTCATATTCAGAAGTCAAGGTTAGCTGACGAATAGAAGCGCAACGATAATTGACATTTACTGTTGAAATGGCCGTAAATGCAGACATGCAGAGACTAATCACCGGCTTCAGTACCATCTGTGTCGTCATCCGCTGGAAATGTCAGTGGCACTCAGGAGCGAGCCGGAGCGACCGTATATTCCGCTGCCATTCTCATTTCATTTAGTGCAACAAACCGTCACTTTGGTCTCCTATTTGCTCCCTCAAAGACATCTGACAGGAGAGAATGGCTCCGTTCCAAACCCAACCGAGCTGCCTACCTACACAGCATTTTTAAGCACCACAGGCGAGCTCCAGACACGAGGCCGTTCCAAATACTTGGCAGCAAAATTATGCTGCCTCATAAGATCAGTCGTTTTGGCCGATATCTAACACAGTGCCGGATGTGTGCGTTTCTATTTTTAACAGCCACTTTATATTTCTTGTCTGCCTGAAATAAAACTAGTTAATTTAGAAATGTCAAAATTTGTCTCCCGAGATACCTGACTCAGTGATACAACAGAAAAATATTTATTAGAAATACATATTATTTAGTACTGAAATTCCTTGATAGGAAAATAATATATATAAAAAAAGAAAAAAGAACGAAAATCATAAAAAAATAATCTATTTCTCCCCATTCGTTTGAGCTATTCATTTTCTGCGCTTTATTATTATAGATGCCAAAAGCACATATGAATTCATACGGTTCCTCAAAAGTGTCTTTTTTATTAATATTAAATTCAATATAACATATTCTGTTATTATATATAACAAATATTCTATGTGGCTATATTAATATACAATTAATTTACATTTGTATAATATTATCTTTTATAAGTATTTCTAATCATAAATAGAACATTTATGTAATTTCTGTAATATCTTTCCGTACCCACTGTGTATATATATATATATATACTGTATATATGTACACACACACACACACACTTGTTATTGTTAATATATTTTGTATATGTAAACCTATATTTATTTCAAAGTTTATATATTCAATAAAAATATTTGTAATATAATAAACTGTAATATTTCCAATTTGGGTCATGAATAATATTTTTAATATAAGAAATATTTAAATATATGTATTGTTAATATTAATAATAAACATTAACAATAATAATGTATTAATAATATTTATTATTAATATAATTAATATAAATATAATATATTTATCTAATTTATATTAATATAACTGTCTTGTATATTGGTTACACTGAGATTCTGTGACATTAAATATGTAGCAATATTTAATATTTGCCATTTGCCATAGAAGATTTTGTCAAAATTTAATGGGACAGAGATTCGGTATACCAATTATCCTACACAGCTATGTTAATACAAAATTAACACTAAAAATAAATATTTTCTATAAATACTTATAATTACAAATAGTACATTTATTTATATTTTTTGTAATATTGCAAATATTGTACATTTATATAAATTTATAGTATTTACAATATTATAGTAAAAATTATAAATAAATGTACTATTTGTAACTTCTAGGCCATGCAACCATTTGCTATATTACATTTTTATTTATTTATTTATTTATTTATCTATTTTACTTTAATGCTGATGATTCACAGAATCTACAGTATTCCTTAACAGAGCATGACTATATATAAAAAATACTTTAAGATTGATCTCTGTTTTAAAATTCAGTCAGTCTCATTTCTATTAAGAAGGTAGCTGCCTATGTAGACAGCAAACAGCGAGGCAGTACTTTTATCTAGTAGAAACTGTTGTGCCGTCCAGTGTCAGAGTCACAGGACAAAGCACCACAA